AAAGGTCTCTCTCTCTCTCTCTCTCTCTCTCTCTCTGAGAGGAACCAGCAAACACCCGTCTTATTGAATCCTCATCTTCACAAGCCAGGGTGCCCTCCAACGCAATGCTCAGGGATTAATCGAGAACTGGTGTTTCTCCACAAGCGACACAACTGATCCTCTAAGATGCAGCATAAAGTGAAACCCTAAAGAAGTGAACTCTCATGTTTGATGCATTACCTCCTCTGATATCAACCAAGTCTTATTGACCAACCAAAACAAATGGAAGCTAATAACTAACGAAATCTGAAACTCAATTTGATGTACCATTAAGCATCGAAGTAACAGGAAGACGTCTAGACATAATTACACTACATTCCAATTGTTCCAGCCCACAAATGCAGTGAGGCCTTATCGGACTTGCAAGTTCCAAATTCATCAATTTAGCCAGTCATCTATGAGACAACCTATATGGTTCTTGTTTGATCATATTCAATAAATACAACCTAAACCGTAGATAAGAAACCAATGAGCACTCGAAGACTGAGGAATGAAATAGGAAGAAGGAGCAACGTTACGCTGGACTGCCGTCTTCTGTGCCTCACAGACCACGGCTCCCCTCGATCTCGGCGCCGCTGCAGCCGGCTTGACCCTCGGGCTCGGGGAAAGGGAAGCGCACCTGAGGCCCGTGAACCGGGGAAGCAGCCCCAACCCGCAGCGGCCGAGTGGCGAGGGAACGTAGGCCACGGCGGCCGCCCTAGGCGCAGAAGCGGGAGCCACGCCATGAGGAGGACGGGTAACCGCGAACGACTCGAGGACGGTGGCGGCCATCGGGAAGGAGAGAGAGGAAGTGGGTGGTGCGATGGAAGGATCGAAAAGGAGTAACCAACGGCGGCTGCTGTCCGCTTATGATGAAGAGGAAAGGAAGTCTCGAGAACATGTGAAGGGGATTCGGAGCGGGCAAACGGATGGATAAAGGAAGCAGTCGCTGCGGTGATTCGATCGCACAACAGCCATTAAAAAGAAAAGAAAAATAAAACAGCAATTAAAAGAAAATTCAATTTATCAAATAAAATTCTCATAATAATTTATTTATTTATTTATTTTACCTTATAATCATATTTACTTAGGAATATTTTTATTAAAATATTAAATTTATCCTCATAAGGGATTTCAATCGGTTTGAGTCAATGAACCAATTGAGATCAATTCCCTAAACACTCCTCCTCCTCCACTTTATCTATCTATATCCTTTTTCTCCTAATAAATTGAATTTTACCCGTTCATATAATCTATATAAAATCATACAAAATTCTATAATAAATTATTCTAAAATTATGTTCTAGTAAAATTATGAAAATTTGATGTGAGACAAGCTTGATAATTATTTATCATAAAATATAAAAAATATATATAATCCTCATTAGAATCAGATTCTTTTGAGATTATGAAAGTATAAATAGTTTGATCCAAATTAATCCTGTTATACTTAAAAATAAATAGAATTACATTAGGTCACATGTAATTAATTATCTTAAATTTATCTAAAATAAAAATAAATTTCCTAAGAATCATATTCTAATAGCATTATGAAAATTTAAGATGGTTTGAAGATGATCTGAATTATACTTGTCCATATAACATATCAAAAAAGAGCCAAATTAAATTATTAATTATTCTTCTAAATTTATTATCAAATAAAAATAATTAATATAATCCTCATTAAAATCATATTCTTATAGAATTTTGACAGTTTGATATAGTTTGGTTGAAATTGACCCATTATGAATTGAATTACACTCGCTCTCAAAAAAATATATCAAATTCCATAATTAGGTATTCTAAAATTATATAAAAATATATATGTATACTAAAATTTTTAGTAAGAATCATGTTCTAATAGAATTATAAAAGTTCAAAATCGTTTGATGAAAGTTAACCGTTATAATTGGAAATAAACTAAAATACACTCATTAACAAGATCTATCAAATTAAATATTATATAGCTAAGTGTCTTTTAATTTGGATGCCAAGAAAGAAGAGATGGTAATATGTAGTTTTATAGAATTAGATTGAACTAATTTAATAGAAAAAAATGGATCATGAATTTTGTATTGGCTCTGATGTCATTTTAAGTTAAAAAAAATTGATATTTTCATCCAAATGAGAAAAAAAAATCCTTAGGTAAAAATGATTATGAGGGATAATATTCGGTAAAAAAAAATTTCGATAAATTACCCAATAGAATATAAAAAAATAAAATAAAATATATATATAACAAAAAAATACAATTGATCCAAGTTTCAATTGGAGTCCTCAATTTCAATTTGCTAAAGTCTTCTTTATGGTTTTCTATACTGAAGAATAAACATGGATAACAATAATGGTCGTCTTTTCGTGTTGCTATTATTTATTTTTGTTATGATCATACTACTTTATTACGATGATTGCTGCCACGTTTATCTTGCTAAACATCTGATCAAACACATGGAATTTTAATATGGTCAAACATCATTGTCTAAACACATGAGAACTGAACTTCTCCTTTTTGTTGATGACAAAGGGGAGAAGTATGTTGATGTCATGCATGATCATGACATGTTACTTAATTTTTTTAATCAAAGAGTTTCTATCAATATGACATATTGATAGGGGGAGTTTATTTAAACTCCGGGAGTTAGTTAACTCCATCATCGATTGGTTGTTATCATAAAAAAGGGAAAATTTGTTGAATCTTATATTTTGATGATGAAACCAATTGATAATTGTGTTTATGTTTTAATCTATATTTTGAGTGAGGTAGGATACTTCGATCAGAATGAGATAATTAAAGCAGGAAGAATCATATTGTGCCGGAGGAAAACATGTCAGAAGATTGGATGTCGGGCCGGAGGAACAATCGATGTATCGACAAAAGGCTTCGGGCCAAGAAGAGCGGATATTGCGCCAAGGATATCGGAGTTACGGAGTCAACTAGTCGATTGGGCAATAGGCCGCAAGAGAGGACGATGCGCCAAAGAATCGGACGAAGCGTCAAGGGACCAATGACAGGACAACTTGATTAATGCTTAGTATTAATTGTCTAGATCGAAGTGTGTTTTACATGTGCAGGATTAACTACGATAGCAAGGCATGAAGCAAAATGAAGTCCTGGAGTCAAGGACGCGACTTCGTTGGGAGTTCAAGAGTTCGTCAAAAGTCCGGACGTTCGTCGGAAGTTCTGGCAGAACCAGCCAAGAAGCCTCAGAGCTTGCTAGAGAAGCTCATCGGAACTCGCCGAGAAGATCATCGTCAAGTCCAAGAGCTTGCCGGGAGTCCACCAGAACATTACCGAGAGATCGTCAGAAGTTCGTCGGAAGATCGCCGGAAGAAGGGACTTGTTTAGTTTAAGTGTGTATTCGATTTCTTAGTTAGAATGTAATTAGGATTGAATTTGGGCTAACTAGGCCCATGTAAGGACTGTGTTAGGCCCAATAAGAGACCCAAATAGTGCCCCAAGAAGTCTCACCGTTGTGGCATAGTCTTCGAGACTATGTCAGGCGGTGGTACCACCAGTCTGAGAGGTGGTATCGCCCAGCACAACCTCCCAGGTGGTGGTACTGCCTAGTGTCAGACTGACACTGGCAGTGATACCGTCCAGTGTCAGACTGACACTGGCAATGATACCGTCCAGCGTAGGCGGTGGTACCTGGGATGGGAAAGTTTTAGGCTCCAAGTTTGAATCAACTTGAAGCCTATAAATACCCCTCTCATCCTTGGTTAAAGCACACAAGCACAAAGAGATTAAAAGTGAGAAAACGCTTTTGCGATCATAAGTGAATTCCCTCCTCTAGCTTAAACTTAGATTTCTGTTTAGAGAGGAGTGTGAGTGCTTGTAAGGGTTGTCTCCTAAACTCGGTAAAAGGAGAAGAGGGGTATAAAAGGTGATTGGCTTCGCCTATTGAATGAAGGCCTCTAGTGGACACCGGTGACCTCGTCGAAGGAGGAAGCCGAAAGTGGATGTAGGTCACGTTGACCGAACCACTCTAAAATCCGGTTTGCATTTACGTTTTGAGTAATTTACTTTTATAGCAAACTGTCTCACCTTCTTGCTTTACATCTGCTACGCTTTTCAAGCTATCTTTACGAATACGCTTTCAAAGTTATTATCTTTATGAAACAGTTTTTTGTCAGAAACGATTTTTATCGTACGAAGTTTTTGAAGACGTGATTTTTACCGCTGCACTAATTTACCCCCCTCTTAGTGCCGACCCCGACTCTTGATCCTAACAAAATAAATACAAATGATCCAAGTTTCAATTGGAGTCCTCAATTTCAATTTGCTAAAGTGTTCTTTATGGTTTTCTATACCGGAGAATAAACATGGATAACAATAGTGGTCTTCTTTTTGTGTTGCTCTTAAGCCGTGTATAGAACTTCAACTGCTTTCTTGTTTTTGTTATGATCATACTATTTTATGATGATGATTGCTGCCATGTTTATCTTGCTAAACATCTTATCAAACACATGGTATTTTAATATGGTCAAACATCATTGTTTAAATGGTTAGAGTATTTTATTAATGTCATCCCATCCCATCAATCATACAATAGCGAAGGTTTGTTTTATGACAACTTAAATATTGATATATCAAACTTAATTTCATTTGACATATTTTTAGAAACCATCTTCATCTTCTCACTTATCTTTTGCAAGAAAAAAAATTTTATTTCATGACATTAATTGCAGGAAAATTTAATCGAGGAAGGAAATCAAACTGATTTATGTTCTTTCTTTCTCTTCCTATTTTTAAGTTTATTAAATTATTATTTATTTATTTATTTAAATTAGAACACGTGACCGCCGTGTTTATCGTCATCCCACGAGGTAGAGTCGCCACGTAAGTCTCGCGTCTCTAACGCGAACTCGGATTAAGCTTCCACCTAAATATTGTGTGTACATGTAATAATAAATATATAACAATGATTTCATGTCCCCTTCCATTAATAACATCTCGACTCTCTCACGCTTTCGAGTTGCCTCGTCCCTCTCCTCGCCTTCCTCGAGTCGTCGAGTCGTCTCCCGATCTCTTGCTTCGATGTCGGCCCTCCGCAGAAACCTCGCACGGCTATTCACCTCCCTTCGCCGCCCATTCCCCGCGGCCACACCCGCTTCCGTCCAGGCCGTTGTTTGCCGACCCTCCTTCTTCCAGCCGGCGCTGCCGCCGGACCGCACCGAGATGCCCGTCTGGGGCGACCGTCGACTCGCCGAGCGGACCCGCGGGCTGTGCCCGGACAGGATCAGCCTCGACGAGAAGCGGGTCTCGTTGGAGGAGATAAGGAAGGTGGTGAGGGCGTCTCAGGTGGCGGCGGCGCGGGAGAGGCTGGGGGCGACCGGCGAGAGCAGCGTGGCGTACCGGGAGTTCGTCCGGATCTGCTGTGAGGCGTCGAGTAGCGAGCAGGGCTTGGAGATGGCGCGATCGCTGGACGAGTCGGGAGTCGTGATAGTTATTGGGAACATCGTCTTTCTAAGGCCCGAAGAGGTACATAAATTCTTCTGCTTGTTTGTGTGCTCAGTTCAATTAGTTTTGTTCTTCTTTAAGAGATTTTGTCTGTGTTTTGGGGCTAATTATAGATAATCTCATCTACTATGGAATCTCTTAGCAGTACAGTTTTTTACTTTAGAAGATTAAGTCAGCATCCTCAAAATAAAATAATTGAACCTATTTTTTCTAATATGATCAGACAAAAAACATCACCTACTGAATAATCGTCTACCCGTTCATATCTGTCGATGGCCACTGCCCACTGCTCAAGAAACTTGCTCTCGAGCGCATATGCTTTGAAGCCCACGTTCATCTCCGCCGATGGCACCTGATAGAGCACAATTTGGTAACATGCCCACTGACAACTGTCCACCCAACCATGAGCCTCAAAGTCACAGACCATATCGGCACCATGGCCCTTAGGTACAAAGACAGCGATTGAGTATGACACCGCCACCAAAGATCTGGACAGTGTCGATCGACTACGACGTTATCCCGTCAGATCGAGACATCACCAATCGAGTACGACGTCGTCCCGTAAAGATCCGGACTACGTCAATCGAGTACGATGCAGCCCCATCAGATCAAGACGACGCCGATCGAGTGTGACGTCGCTATTCGACGTTGAGGTACAAAGGACTACCGATGACTACACGAAAAGTGAGTTCGCACTTAAAAGGTCGATGACCATGAATGAGTTAGGTACAATGGGTCCCCATTCGCAGGGTATAAAAATCTATTGCCTGGCCAACATCAGGGAGGAGATTCCTCGTTTTCACTCAGTTCTAACTAAATCTTCAGAGAGATCGAGTCGGGAAATCCATCTTCCAACCCTAATCTGTATGCAGGAGCCGAGCGACAAGGAAGGAGACGACCAATCAAAGAGGAACCCCGTATTCCGGAAGCGAGGTTCGAGCTCGACCCAACGGAACGACAACTTCCGTTGCCCGAGTATCCACGCGAGCGATCTTACGCATCTGGGACAAGATCAAACTGTGCTGAGCTGCTCTGTCACCGACAGCCCCCGTTGCTCTTTTCTGCAAGTTTTATTTAGAGGATAAGACGAAGCATGAGCTGCTCGTCTGGCATCATCATCACTGATAACACCTCGCTGCTGCCCCCACAAAAGCCATGAGTTTACCCCACAGTGCCATATGGCCACAGTGGTCTGTCTCCGGCAAACCCCACAAACCCCACTCTGATTGATTGATGCACATGCATCCATCAATTTAGCCATGAGACAGCGAGGAAACCAAGCATTATCTCTAACATCAACGAGCATCGAAGGAGGAAGAACAAGGATTTATTAGACAGTCTTAAGGGTTTACATGGATTCTATGGAGGAAAAGAGATGATCGAGAGAGGAAGGTGGTGCAGATCTCTTCCTCTTATTCTTGTGATTTCAAGAACTTCTTCTGATTATTATATGCTTCCAGATTAAATACAAGATATTGGTGTATATGATATGTAGTAAAGGATCTGAGTTCTGATGTAGACGCATGGAGACGTAGAGCGAGCCTTGTATTTCCTCTTGCTACCCCTCCTGCCCCTTCTGCTCCTGCAGGTGGTGAAGTCAATCGAGAACATGATCCCATTCTCGTCGAGCAACCATCACAGCTCGCAGAGAGAAGAACTAAGGAAGATGGAGGAGGAGAAGGCCGAGATCGATCGGAGAGCCGCGTCTCAGGTCAGGAAGGAGTTGTGGTGTGGGATGGTATTCGTAGTGGCACAAACAGCCGCATTGATGAGGGCGACCTTTTGGGAGTTGTCGTGGGACGTGATGGAGCCGATCTGCTTCTATCTCACCTCCATCTACTTCATGGCTGGCTACGCCTTCTTCATCAGGACGTCGAAGGAGCCCTCCTTCGAGGGCTTCTTCACCAGCCGCTTTGCCACCAAGCAGAAGCGCCTGATGAAGGCACGGAACTTTGATCTCACTCGCTTCAACGAGCTCAGCCAAGCTTGTCTGCGCTCGCCGCCACTGTCGGAGTTCACATCTCCTTCGAGAGCACATCATTCGGTGGGTCGTCGCAGTGACTCGTAGATGATATGGAGGATTATTTAAGCTTGTCGTTATCTCTCACATTTTTTTTTCCAGCCTAAAAGCCTATAAGAAAAATGTACAACGATTATACTGTGATAACAATGATTGAGGTCTTGTGATTTTGAGTGTATGAATCTTTTCTTCTTTACTGAGCTCTGTAAAATCTTTACTAATATTATTATGTCAAATTTTTTGGTATGTAAAATATTAAATATCTTTATCTGGATATAGTGATCATAGTAACCAAAGAAGGCTAAATTATATCATTGAAGGAAGTCATTATTGGTAATATTTTTATCGATATAATTTCTTTTCATATTTTCTTTTTATATTTTTTCTATTTTATCCCTATAATTTCTTCTCTACATATATGGTTTTCTCTCTAACAACACTGTTTCTTTCTTAAACAGTTCTCTATAGGACTATTTCTCTCTAAATAATCACAATTTCTTTCTAAACATTTCTATCTTTATATTCTTAAATCCATTTCTTTCTTTAACAAATCTAATTATCTCTGATAATATCTTAATCGGGAAAATAGTAAAAGTAAGTCGAGAGATAAATAAATATATATATATATATATATATATATATATATATATATCTTTATT